GAGGGGTGGGGGCAGCTGGAATAAGACCGTTCCCCTTCCCGCGACACCGGGCCGGGAGATAGTGGGGGAAGGTGGGGTTGGCGCCCTCTGGTGGACAAGGTTGAAGCGGCCTGTGGCCAAGCGGCTTCCCACGCCGCCTCTCCAGGAGCTCCAGGCGTGAGCCGCAGGGCAGGGGCCTCTACGTGCCCTGCGCGTGGTCTGGGCGTCCGCAGTTTAGGCAGAATAAGAGGGAATAAGTCAGCAAGGCTGACTTCGTTCGTTCGGTCGGTCGGTCGGAAGCCTGGCTGAGTGCAGGGAAAAGTCATTTCTCAGGGAAAGCCTTCCCAGCCGACCCATCTACCCTCTGCGTGTGGACCAGCCCCAGTATTTACCACCCCCACCCCCACCGCCACTCCGCGACGCCGCTGACCGCTCATTGTCTGTCAGTGCCTTGGCTGGTTTCTTGGTGGGTCTCCCCGCAGCCCTGGCCGGCGCCCAGCGCGCTCCTGCCCGCGGTGGGGGCCCAATCCACATCTGTTTCGTCCAGGAGTTTCCTGGCCCGACGGGGCGCCCCGCGGACAGAGCTGGGAATTGTTCTTTCTCCCCATCCAACCCCACCTCTCTTGGATCCCCCTTCCTGGCCCCTCAGCGCACAGTAGGAGCGCTGCCAATTCACTTTGGCCTCAGAGCGCTGAGGGACGAAGGCGTACGCCGTACGCCGGGGTTTACAGATCGCTGGAGGAGGGGCAGGCCTGTATTTGCGGGGCGCAGAGGGAAGACTCCCAGACCGGGACTCCAAGTGCTTAACACAGTCTCGGCGATTTGCATTTGAACGGTCCGCGGAGGGTCTGCGGCGCTTTGAACGCCCAGGCGCAGGAGGCGCGCGTTGAAGCGAGCTGCAGTGTAGGCGGCCCGCGCCGGCTGGTGTGGATTTGAGGGGCCCGGGGTGGGCCGGGGGGGTGGGATGGGGAGGTGACAGATGCGTTTGGAAAAAAGGCTGAAGGTGTGTGTTTGGGTCCCCGCGAGGGTGTGTTTGCGGAGAGGGGCTGTTTGTGTTGACTAGGAGTGTGTGTTTGCGGGAGGCGAGGGAGTGTGTGTGTGTGTGTGTGTGTGTGTGTGTGTGTGTGTGTGTGTCTGTGTGTGTGTTTGTATTTGCGGAGTGTGGGGGCGGCCAGGAAAGGTGGCTGGGCTGTCATTCAGCGATCAGGTTGACAGGCGCTCCCTCATCAGGGCCAGGGAGCTCTGATTGCAGATTCGAGGAAACAAAATAGCAATTGTAATTACGGGGCTTTGATAAGATAAAGGAAGAAGCTAGCTGGCCGGCAGGCGAGCCAGAGAGCGAGGGAGGAGAGAGCGGCCTGCTGGGGCCCGATGGAGTATTTGCATCTGTCACTCACGAGGGTGTGCCCTGGCAGTACTGGGCGCCTGATGTGGGGGTGGGGTAGGGTGTCCCCATTGCGCTCCTCCTCCCCTCCTCTGTCTAGAGACACTGACTTTTGGGGAGATGAGAAGAATCCCCTAAACTGAGTAAGGTCCAGTTCAGGGAAGGTTCTCCAAATGTAAAGGAATTCTAGTCCAGTAGAGGTCCCTTGGTAGAGGTTAAGGTGTAGGACTCAAACCCTGACCTCCACACTTTTAGGCCTTGGATTGCCCACCTCTGGTGGAGATAGAGGAAGGTGGATTAATATCACTGAGGTTCAGCCCAAGTCCTTCATAACCTTCTGGGGGCTCCAAACCAGGGTTGGACCCTCATCTGAGCCAGGTACTTCTGCATCCACCTACACTTTAAGGAAAGGTAGGTGCCCAGAGTGACTTAGGTTGTTAACTCCAGGACTATGCACACTAAGGATGGGCTAGGTGCCCTGACCCATGCCTAGGTCCTGCTTCCTGCTGTTCTCAACAGCATATTTTCAGAGGGCTGGGTCCCTGGTGAGAAGTCTCTTATCCTTGCTCTCCATCTCTCCACTCATTTATTTATGCATACAAAGAAACATTTTCAAAGGCCTATTATGTGCAGGGCATGAAGTTAAGGAGGTGAACATCTTGGCTGCTTGAAGCAGTGCAGCTGGGAAGGTAGACACTCAACAAGTGGCCAGTAACCTCTAAGACAGAAGGGCACAAATGAAGGAAAAGTGCTGGTCTGGGCTGTGGGCACTGAAGCCCATCTCACCTCTTTCCCTTCAATGGACCCACCTCCCAGTAGGATTGAGAAGAGACAGAGCAAACTCAGCCTTTAGCAAATACAACTGGTCAATAAATGGTGGTGCTTATGGTTAGTATCTGTTGGGACAGTGGTGAAGGCAAGTCTCCTTGGGGAGGCCCTACATGCACTGAGGTCTAAATGCTCAGCCAGTTTACCCATTATTCATTCATTGAATACTAATTGCAGAACAACCCTGCCCAGCTCTCTGTCCCGAGCTGCAGCTTCCCAGCTAGTTAGACATGGCCCTTGGCTAGAGGTCTGTATGGGCAAGAGCCAGCCAAGGGGAAAGATTCCTGGAGGTGGGTAACAGGTGGGCTAAGGGAGTCTACTTCTCTGGGGAGGGATGAGACATTGGGACAAGTCTTCCAACTCTTTTTCCATCTAGACCCTGCTCAGTGTAAGCATTATGGCTGGGATTGGGAAAGGTGGGGCAGAGGAAGGGGTGGTGGGCAGAACTTGGCTGTGCTGCTAGGTAGGACAAGGGCCTGCTTACTGTGTCTGGCCTAATGGCTTTCTGGCACCACTCCAACCTCTCCAGTCCAACCCCCAAGGACATGGGGGGCCAGTGGGGCAGCGAAAGTCTTGGGAGAGGGCAGCAGCTGGGCAGGGCATCAGTAGCTCCACCTGCTCCTCAGAGTTATCTATCCCAGGGTACCTCTGCCCACCACGGTTACTCCCAAAGAAGCACCATGGCACCTGGAGGGAAGCAATGAGGGTCTGGAAAAAGCTTAGACAAGTCCCTACCTCCTTTTGGCAGTCCCCTTTCCCCACAGGTGACACAATACACCAGTCCATGTCTAGTAAAAAGTAGGTGTACCTGTTCAACGCACAAATAATGGGACTCTGACCGGGAAAGCCTGGGTGACCTGAATCTACGTCTCTTCCCCAGGAAAAGCAGCTGAGAGTAGCTATTTTTGCCCCTTCTGCCTGCTGCTTTGGGTGGGTGGTGGGGCAGCACTGTAGGTCTTGCCAGTGACCTCTGGGCTCTCCCACGTAAGTGTCTATGGTTCCTCTCAAACTTCAGACTAGTGAGGGCAGGGGACGGGCAGGGGCAGGGGCAGTGGTGATGGTGATAATGGAGGCGGGATGGGAAGAAGAAGATGCTTCTCGATCTCAGGGCCTTCTTGGGAGACTGAGCGAGACAGGCGAGACCAGCATGGCGGGGTACTCAGCGGAAAGACTGAGGGGGTCGGGTCCCCGTCGCACACGCACCCACGCACTGCCGGAGAGATGAGCGCACTGCCATTCACTCCAGCGTTAGCGGCCACTAGCAGGAGGCAGGCCCAGGCGAAGCGCACAGTAGGTGGTTCAGAGACCCACCATACAGCCTGAGGCGTAAGCGGACCCGGCCCCATGGTGGGGACCTAGCATCTTCCGACTCGGGCGCACCGGCAGTCCGGGAAGCCCCAGCCGAGGGTCTCTGGA